TTTACCCAACTTTTATTATTATTTCTTAGTCAACAGGCTGCAATATATACCAAGATGGTTGCAAGATAACCCACTAGATGAGTCCTGGTTAGAGAACAGACACTTTGCAATACGATAGAGCTTTCAGACTTACCATTTATTAGCTCATGCATAAGAAAACATGAAGGCTTCAAAAGTATTAGTATCAGCACCTCTCTGACAGCATGGTGGGAGTATTTAAAAATGACAGAGTCTTCACTAGTACCATGCAGATGCACACCTATCTGGAATAATCCTGATATTTTGCAAAATAACAAAATGATGAACCTTCCAGACTGGAAAACTAAAGGAATCCTATACCTGGAACACATATGAAGGATTGGACTTCATCCCATTTAACAGAATAGTCTCCCAATTTGGAATAGATAAGAAAAGCTTTTTAGAATATCACCAAATTAAATCTGTAGTTAAAAATTTAAGCTTAATAAAGTTGAATTACAAACACCACCAAAGGTATTAGGGTTAGACTTCTGTAATCTCAAACCCCCAAACTACTGTCTAAAGTAGATAAGACACTGTCCAAAATAGACGATAGAATAGCATTCCCTATTGAAAAATGGGAGGTGGATCTATCAGTCAGCTTTGACCTGTGTCACGATGAGAGCCAGGAGGAGGTTTGGACCCAAAGTGCAGAAACACTAGACGACACGAGGCAGGAGCGATTTGTAAAGTATAATCCTTTTTATTTGGATGAGAAAAACCAATGTCCTAAAAATCCTGGAGACCAAAGCTCACTTAAAGAGCACAAACCTAGAGACCAAGTGGAGGGGAACAAAACAACACTTGACACAAACAATGGACTGACCCAACACACTGTGACACAGACAGAGTTTTATACACTGGGGAGGATGAGAGGGAGATGAGCTGCAGGTGTGTGGGGAGAGAAACCAAGTGAAAGCAATTAAAGAGCAGGTCAAGTATGCCTCAGAGTCCTTCTCCACCCACGTATCAATTTTAAAAACTGCAACATTAGTAGGCGTTGCCTGGCGGACCGAGAGGGCGGAGCCGCGGCAGTGACAAAGACGATGGGTAACGAGACGATGCTAGCTCCCTTCACTCTGAGCAGTCATTAGAAGTGGAGGACGTTTCTCCCCCTCCTTACCCAGACACTCGAGAAGAAAGGAACCAAGTCTATTTGGAGGAGACAAGCGGACCTGAGCCTTATTGTTTTGAGCTTGCAAATCCAACTCCCAACGTGAGATGTGCTGGGGTCTCCATGCCCTGGGGGGCATTTTGGGAATGGAGGTGCCTATTGGGGCCAGTGGGGACGCTGGCTCCCTGGAGGGCTTAGGCCAACCAGCCATTCCTCCCCATCCCCGTACATTTTTTCTCCTCCTGCTCCTTCACATCATACCACAATCATGCACATAGGACCTTGGAGGGTGGACAAGTTAGGGGTGCGGGTATGGATTCCATTTCCGCATTCATGTGGCAGCCTGCCCCCCAATTTTATTTGCACCTTAAACACTTCCACCAACAACATTCCACGCCTTAGTTCTAATGTCATTAGTTTATGCTGAGCGGGTCTCAATTCATATTACATGGAGCTCTACAGGACAGGGGACAAACTTAGCAAAGAAAGAAGATTAATTGCCTACATTATAACAGTACAGGGTCAGACTATCAGTTTCAAGAATTTCTAAAAGTCTTACATAATTCCTACAAGGAGGAAAACTCCAAATTGCTGCTTTAACTTCCTAGAATGTTCAGATGTTTTCACCTGTTCATAAGCCGTGAACTTGACAGCAGTCTCTGGAGCAATTTTTAGGACATTTATTCCATTCCCCCTCCACAGTGACCATGGTCCTCCTTCTTTTAACATGTACTGAAAGCCTTTCAGCACATTTCCTTTAAAATCTGACGAACTGTGAACCTGACAGAGCAGCGACAACAGGTTAATGAAGCAAACTCAACAACGCCATCCCATCATAACATTCATTTGGACCAGACAAACCTGTCGGAACACTTTGAGTCGGTCTAATGGGGCAGTTCCAGTCCGTGACACTGATCCAGCTATGGCTCCAGCCATCAAATGCCGCCATGCTAAACCAGATTTCCTGTCTTCTACTGAAAAGTCATCTGGGACTGTCAGCTGCTCGCCTGTATCCAAAATCTACTGAAACCACAGGATAACAGGAATAACAGAATTTAGGAGTGTTTTTTTTTCAATCCTTGCTAAAATGCAGAATATTGCTTGTGTTTGAGCTGTTTGGCACCTTACCATTGAACGCTTCCAGTAGTGTGCCACATCCTCCATGTTATTTAGGGGATTAAAGAGGAAGTGGTCTCGCCACTCGTTCCAGTCAACTGTCATGGTACCATCTTTGTCCATACTAGAAAAAAAAACATTCTACTGCTTAACGATATTTTGGTAACATTTACAAACTGGTCACACATACAGTCTCATTCAATGTGTTGTCTTTATCTTCATGACCATTTACATCTCACTGAAGGCATCAAAACTATGAATGAACACATATGGAGTTATGTTCTTGTGAAAATGTAGAGCAGCCAGAAGGTCTTCAAGTTGAAAGAAGTAGAGGCAAACTGCAGCACATGGACATTATTCCTTGACAGCCTAAATGCTTCTCAGGCATTTATTTCACTGCTTTCCTTTTACAGATCACAAAATAAAAATAAAAAAAAACTCCCCAAGCCACCACCTGGCTTCCTTTAAATACCCCAGAAAATCACACCTGCAAACAATCAGCCCCAATCATCAGTGCTCCAACATTAAATCCATGTGGAAATAAACATCCACATAAATGTACCTAAATGTTAACATAAACAAAAGACAAAACTGTTTCTACAATACAAGAAACATTTTCACACTAAGAGCAAAGAAACAAATCCCACTTCCCACTTCCTTTGGTTTGTCCAAATGAAGCAGCCAATCATAGGATGATCCAGGGAGGTAGTACTGGGTGGGCCCGCCCAGTACTCACCTCACAACCTGCTCTGGATACAAAGCAAACATGAAATCCCAAATGGTAACTACATCCACACCAGTGCAATATTCACATTTCAGTCTGGTTAAAATATCCCCCATCACAGTGCCAGCAGGCTACAGAAATAAATTACAGGGGCGAATGGGAAATCATCCATACCATTTCGTCACAGTTCTTAACCAAAAAAGGTGAAATAACTGAAAAATATATTTTATATTTTATTTTCTTCAAAAAGCCACCCTTTGCTCTGATTACTGCTTTGCACACTCTTGGCATTCTCTCCATGAGCTTCAAGAAAGAACAAAGAAAGAAAGAAAACAATATTTTACATAGCGCCTCTCAAGGCCCTATCGATGCATTTAACCCTTAAATGCCTTACTTGTGATCCAGCGTGCCGCAATAGCCCCTGACCCTTTGGGTGGACAAACCCGGCTCGTGCTCGCAGATGCCTTACTTCGGTAGGGAACCAGACCAAATTTTCAAAGTGGGTCTAGTTCCTCGGCTTACCTCTTACTGGTTTGGACCCAAGGACTGTGTTGGCCAAGAGAAGTCTCTCCACACGATCCTTTGTTCTGGATCCCACTTGTATAGCACCTCTCAGAGTAAGGACTCCAAAGCACTTTACACTGCCATGCATCATTCATCTATTCACACACACATTCACACACTGATGGTGATGAGCTACGATGTAGCCACAGCTGCCCTACGGTGCACTGACAGAGGCGAGGCTCCCTCCGACCACCACCAGCAGGCAAGGTGGGTCTTGCCCAAGGACACAACAGCAGAATTCTCCGTCTGAAGCTGGGATCGAACCTGCAACCTTCCGATTACTGGACAACCCGCTCAACCTGTTGAGCTACTGCTGCCCAAGAGAACTGACATGAGAATCCAGGGTGAGAGCTGTGTCAAAGGTCACGCCAAGATTCCTGACAGAAGGTTTTGTGTGAGAACAAAGCTGACCGAGAGAGTCTCTGACTTTGGGAACCAGCTTGTCTGGGGCACAGATGAAGATCTCAGTCTTATCTTCATTTAGCTGTAGAAAGTTCCCACCATCCACGTTTCAATAGTCTAAGCAGGTGTGTAACAGCTGCAGCTTAGACATCTCATGGGACTTAAAGGAGATGTACAGTTGGATGTCATCTACGTAAAGATGGTAGGAGCTCAGGATGTGCTGAAGAGGGAGCAGAGGAAGAGCAGGGGCGCGAGCACAGAACCTTGAGGGACACCATGGGTGAGAAATGTTGAGGAGGACCAAAACTTGGAGACGGCCACAAAGAAGGAACGCTACAAGACTGTTGGAAAACCATTTCAGGTGACTACCTCTTGAAGCTCATCGAGAGAATGCCAAGAGTGTGCAAAGCAGTAATCAGGGCAAAGGGTTGCTTTGTTGACGAAAATATAATATAAACATGTTTTCAGTTATTTCACCTGTTTTGGTTAAGTACATAACTCCATATGTGTTCATTTATAGTTTTAATGCTTTCAGTGGGAATCTCCCCATGTAAATGGTCATGAAAATAAAGAAAACATTAAATGAGAAGGTGTGTCCAAACTTTTGGCCTGTAATGTATTATCATCCATAATTATTTGTAGACAGTTTAGACAACAGACCTCAGCAAAATCTTGGTTGCATCCTCCAGGCTAATGTTCACACCAATGGTGCGCAGATAGACTTGAATCTCTGCTGCATCTATTTTACCTGCAAAAGTTCAACATCCACAAACAGCAAGGAGTTAAAATATTGGAAAAGAATTATTGCACCAACTACAATCATACAAAAAAGTTTTGGCACCCCTGATAATTTTCAGGATTTTCCTATGTTTAGATCAGCTATTTCATTTAAATATATCATATAGTAGATGAACAAAGTGATGTTTGAGACATGAAATTAGGTTTATAGGATTTACAGAAATAGTGAAATAATTACTTAAAATTAGGCATGTGCATAATACCCTCTCATTATTGGAATTGACCTTTGTATGTAGGTCAAGGGTCAATGAGCTTACAAAACAAATGTTTTGTTCCAATAATTAGTGCTAAAGGTTTTTCAAATCAATAAAATGACAAGGTTGTCCTAATTTATGCACATGCCTAATGTAGAGTACCAATGGTCAAGTTTTTTCATCAAACTAACAGAAATTAACTTTTAATTTGCTGCTACAAATTGCGTCACACATCCAGGGACGCATTACATCTGTCTGCCCTCCAAGCAAGAAAAGCAAGGATATATAAAGTTAAAGTTAAAGTCCCATTAGTTGTCACACACACTATGTGTGTGCGAAATTTGTTCTCCGCATTTGACCCATCCCCTGGGGGGAGCGGTGAGCTGCAGACACAGCCGTGCTCGGGAACCATTTGTTGATTTATAAGATGTGCAACCGAACAAAGAAGTCACAATATCTTTGCTCAAGGTCACATGCAGAAGACAAGACACCTGCACTTTCACTCTGAATAAAGTTAATCTTCCTTGAATCATGAATGACTTTTACAACTTTATAGGTTGAAATAATCAAATGTGTTGAATGAACAAGATGTTTAAATCCAAAAGTGTTTGAATAATCTGTGCATTAATAAATGATGTGTTAAATTGAATATTTTTCCTGCAATGATTTATTTCAGATCTTAAACTAAACCAGATCAGGATTTTTCAATTTAACAAGTTAATCTCAGTATACTCATACATCATAAGATTAAAATTAAGGTTTGCTGCCCCCCTCTGGAGGTGCTTGGGTTGCCTCGGGGGGTGGACTGCTGGCGGTTGTGAGTGGGGCCCCTTGGGGGGTCTCGGCGGCAGCCATGGGTTGCTGCCTGGCAGCTGCATCGCCCCTGAGTGAGTCTGGGTGGGGGGCCTGGGGGCTCGGGGTGTGGCGGACCCCATGAGTGGATCTGGGCGGGGACTTAGAATGAGGTCCTGACTCGTAAACTGCCGGGAAGAAGGCAGGAACAAGCGGCATTGCATGGCCCAGGCTCAAGGGCCTCAGGTGGACCTTGGCTCCTCTGGAATAATAACAACTCTGTCCCATCACGGGGGAGGGGGATGTCCAGGAGGGAGAGGACCCAACCTTACCTGGATGTCTCATGTCTTAAATATTCTGGAAATTGCAGAGATGGGAGTAGATATTCTGCTCGGGTGGGGCTGGGTTGGTGCCCTTGGACTCCATGGGGCTCTGCGATGCTGCTTTGAGCCCTGGCGAGATGGGCTGGGGTCTCCATGACCTAGGGGTCATTTTCGGAATGGAGGTGCCTATTGGGGCCAGTGGGGGAGCTAGCTCCCTGGAGGGCTTAGGCCAACCAGCCATTCCTCCCCATCCCCATACATTTTTCTCCTTCTGCTCCTTCACATCATCACACAATCATGCACATAGGACCTTGGGGGGTGGGCAAGTCAGGGGTGCGGGTATGGATCCCATTTCTGGTCATGAGACTTAAGCAAACAGGGGCGGTAACTGATGTTCTCCCAGCCAGGCTACTTTCCGGTAGTGGGTGACCATGTACTGCAAATTGTGAATGGCAGCTTGCTATCTGGGGAAGTCCCCATTTCCCTAAAGCAGGCGGTGGTACAAACTTTGCTAAAGAAACCGGGATTGGACTCAACAGTCTTGTCTAATTTTAGACCTGTATCTACACTCCCTTTCATTTCTAAGATCATAGAGAGGGCTGTGTTTATCCAAATGATGTCTTTTCTACAGGAATGGGGAATTGGAGAAGTATTTCAATCTGGGTTCAAACCTTTTCATAGCACCAAATCTGCATTGCTGAAGGTCCTTGATGACATTTTACTGGCCAATGATTCTGGTGATGCTGTGGTTCTGGTGCTCTTGGACTTGACATCAGCCTTTGATACCATTGATCATGGCATTTCAATAAACCGACTGGAGCAGTGTGTGGGTATTACGGGCCAGGCACTCAAGTGGATAAGCTCATACTTGACAGGGAGGAGTTTCTGTGTGAAGTTGGGGGACTGTTCCTCCGACCTGGCTGAGCTGCCTTGGGGAGTGCCCCAGGGATTGATTTTAGCCCCTCTGTTTTTCTCCCTATATCTCCTACCCCTGGGTGACCTATTTCGCAAGTATGAAGTGTCATTCCATCTATATGCTGATGATTGCCAGGTTATTTTTCCCAAGTAGGCGTGGTAGTTTATGCACCATTCAACCTTTGCTGGACTGCCTGGAGGATATCAAGCTATGGATGGCTCAGAACTACTTGTGTTTCAACCAAATTAAGACCGAAGTAATCCTGTTTACTCCACCAAAGACCCTAGGAGGTGCCCAAGGCATTGATCTTTCCATACTGGCAGAAGGCGGTGGTCACTAACCTAGGGGTAAAGTTGGATGCAGAGCTCAGATTTGATTCTCAAGTAAACAGAATCGTGAAATCTTGCTATTTTCATCTCCAGCGGATAGTGAAGATTAAGCCATTTGTGTCACGTAGCCATTTGGAAACTGTGACCTTTGTTACCTGCAGGCTGGATTATTGCAATTCGCTATATGCGGGGCTTAGGCAAGCTCCAGTAGCACGCCTCCAGGCAGTTCAGAACTCTGCAGCTCAGTTGCTCACAGGTACCAGGAGGTCTGAACATATTACACCGGTCCTGGTTGCCTTGCATTGGCTCCCTGTCTCCTATCCCATCAGGTTTAAGGTAATCCTGTTTGTGTTTAAGGCGTTAAACTCGGGGGGCACCTAAATAGCTGTCAGACATCATCCACCGGCATTTCACAGTGCGTTCCCTTAGGTCAGCTGACCAGAGACTATTAACTGTGCCCAGGTACAGCTTGAAATCTTGCGGGAGCCGTGCCTTCTCAGTGTTGGGACCAAGACTCTGGAATGAGCTGCCGGCTGATGTGAAGCAGGCCCAATCACTTGAGAGCTTTAAACGCCGACTAAAAACCCATCTGTTCTCATTGGCGTTAGGACATTGAAGTTAGGTTTGGGTGGGCAGCGTCACTTCGAACACTTCTGGATTTGATTCTGGTAACAGGACTGATCTGGATTGCTAAACTGTACTCGGGAATTCTTATTCTTTTTTTAATTGTTATTTAAGTTTGTTTTATTGCTGTGTTTTTTATTGGTGTACAGCGCTTTGTTTGTCCGCTTTGGGCATGTGAAAGCGCTTTATAAATACAGTTGATTTGATTTGCTGTACAATCATTTAGTTTAGGAAAATTGTATTAAATAATTTTTATAAACTATTTTCTTGACTCTGTCTGAATTAATTTAAAGTGTGTGTTCCCTGAATAAGTCAAAGAAATTAAATTCTTCTGAATAAATATTCAAACACCAATCAGATTGATATTTCATATTTATATGGAATATCACATCTTATTGATCATTTAATATATATGTAGCCAATCCTTAACGCTACACTAATTTTGTTTCGGTAATTATTGCTCACTTTTTGTAAATCCTATAAACGTAATTTTATGTTTCAAACATCAATTTGTTCATCTGCTATATGATTTATTTTACTAGAGTTGCTGATCTAAACACAGGAAAATCATGAAAATGATCAGGGAAACCTTTTCACATGACTGTATATTGTCCTTAATTCTTTTCACTCCTGTCCATGTACCATCATTGTTGCGGTCAAGATGGCGAAACATGAGTTTAAGCTGTTTCTCATGGTTATGAAGATAGTGGATGAACTCTTCAAAGTCCAAGACTCCATCGTGGTTGGTGTCTCCAGTCTCCACGAGCTAACGGATAGAAGGGAAGGCAGTGAAACACAGCTGCAGGGGCAAAACATATTAGTTATGTTTTACAGCTTTTTTTATGCTATGTTGGTAAATGGTCTGTGTTTGATAAAGCACTTTCTATGGTTCTACAACCAGCTCAGTGGCCTAGTGGTACAGTGTCCGCCCTGAGCCTGGGAGATCAGGGTTCGATTCCTGGTCAGGTCATACCAAATACGTAGAAAAAATGGGACCCAATGCCTCCCTGCTTGACTCTCAGCAATAAGGAGTTGGACTGGTGGGTTAAACCACAAAACAGTTCCCGAGCGCGGTCGTGTCTGCAGCTCATCGCTGATGGGAACAGTGATGGGTCAAATGTCAAGTGATGGAGAACAAATTTCGCACACAAGTCAAAGTTAAAGTCCCATCAGTTGTCACACATCAGAGTGTGTGACAACTGATGGGACTTTAACTTTGACTTCAATCAATGTGCTTTAAAACACACACACTGATGGTGATGAGCTACATTGTGGTCACAGCTGCCCTGAGACACACTGACTGAGGTGAGGCTGCTATACACAGGTGCTACCGGTCCCTCCAACCACCACCAGCAGGTAAGGAGGCTGAAGTGTCTTGCCCAAGAACAGAAGGACTGCAACAGACAGAGCTCAAACCTGCAACCCCCCTGTTATGGGGCAGTGATGGGAATAACGCTGTTTAAAATAACGGTGTTACTAAAAAAATTTGTTTTTTCAATAACAAGTAATCTAATTAATTACCGTTTTCTTTTATCACAACGCCGTTTCCGGATGTTTTCATCCAAGCGCATCACGGCTTGTGAAGAACGAGGAAGACGTGATGAATAGTCTACAGCTGTAAATCCACAGATTCACTGCTGAGGGTGTGAATCTGCAGCCGTGCTCTTCTTGGCGTGACAGCGGGACGTCCAGAAGGTCCGCTCACCTGTTCACCGCTCAGACGTCTCGATCTTCTACCCTCCTAGATCATCCAGCTGTAACCTGTTTCTGATCATGTCTTTATTCCCGCTCTAACACTGGTGGCATCAGTCCCAGACGTCATGGACCTCAGGTGTTAGTAGAACTACCTGTGTGTCTTTACCACCCAGCTTCAGCTCTTCTGTGTTTGGGTCTGACCCAAGTTAGTACGTTTAAGTCTAACCAAATAACTCTATCCCCCCTTGCTTGTTTAAAAATGTATTTGCCACTACTCCATCTTGCATTTTGCATATGGTGAATGCTAGCTTGGTACACAGAGTAGTACTGGGGAGCTTTAAACAAGCAGTTGTCCAGCCAGTAATTAAGAAAACTAGCCTCAACTTGACAGATCTATCAAACTTTTGACAGATTTACAAGATCCCCTTCAGGTTCAAAGTTTTGGAAAAAGTTGTCATTGAGCAACTGAAAGAGTTTCTTGATGAGCATGGGATATCTGAGGTCTTTCAGTCTGGCTTTAAAAAGGGACACAGTGCTGAAACACTATTGAGGGTGGCAAATGACATTTTGCTGTCCTCTGACTCCAGTCATATTGTGGTCTTGATGCTTCTGGACTTGAAGGCGTTACTTAGACCTTCCTGCGTCTAATCAACACGACTCCTTCTAAATAGAGGCCAATGACTCATCACGGGATGGAGAGGCGGGGTACCCAGAGTAGTTTTGGCTTGTTAAATAACAGTAGACTGCTACAGCTGATAAGCTTGAGTCTTCCATATTCCAGTCAGAATGCACAAAGCTCATCGGATGAGAAGCAAAATGTCTTCAAGAAACCAAATAAGTCCAGTTGCCTTCATTTGAACCCTTTGGATAACTAGTATTTTGTTGTTTGACCAAACCAAAAAAGCAGACGGCTTTGTGTTACCCATGTAGCTCAAAGCTATTAGCATTAAAGCTAGTGGTGGTTAGTTAGTATTTTTTATGCTGGTGAAGGTTCTCAGTTATCCAGGTCATGGTAATACAAAGGCTCAACACCAACCATCACGCTCCCGGCCCAGGCTCCAGCTTCTAAACTACACCACCAAGCCAGGCTCAGGCTCCAGCATTAACACCTGATCCTGGCTCCAGGCCCAGCTGCCACACCCAGCCCAGGTACCAGCCCCCAGTACTGGCCACCAGATTGGGAACCCATTCACCCATTCACACACTGGTGGGGATGAGCAACGATGTAGCCACAGCTGCCCTGGGCCGCACTGACAGAGGCGAGGCTGCTGAGCACTGGCGCCGCCAGTCCCTCCGACCACCACCAGCAGGCATGGGGGGTTAAGTGTCTCGCCCAAGGACACAGTGACAGCGAAAGACTGAGTGGGGCTTGAACCTGCAACCTTCCAATTACGGGGCGAGCACCTAACTTCTGTGCAACCGTCACCCAATTATGGACCTTATAGGAGAAATTAAAGACCTAAAACAACAAAATAAGGAGAAAGAGAGAAAAATTGTAAGTCTGAAATGCTGTTTAACAGAACTTGAGCAGTATACCCGCAAGGACGTAATTTTCACTTTAGAAGTGGTGGGGACACGGGGGGGGGGGGGGGGGGGGTCTTGACAGTATGCTCTAATGGGAAACAGGCTTCAACACAAACGGTTGTTTTCCGCTTGGTCCTAGAGCTCAACCAGTGTCAATTTGATATAGCGTAATATTGTTTTTGAATGGTAAAAATTGCAGGGGTCAAAACTTGACTTTGGAAAAAGTGGGGGGGGACATCCACCCCCCCCCCCACCCCCCACCCCCCAACATTACGTCCATGTATACCCGTATGAATGATGTTAACATCAGGGTAATGGAGAGCAGGCCCAGATTCTACACCAGGGCAACAACACTGTAGGATGGCGAGGTTCTAACAGACAAGGACATGCACTCTCTGGAGAACCAGGTGGCCTCCTTCTTTACCAACAAAGGCATAGCCATATCCGACACAGACATTGAAGCTTGCCACTTATTACCTCGTAAAAACCAAGATGCCAGCCACAATCTTACAATTTGCAAACAGAAAATACAAGAATGCCCTTCTAAAACAAGGGGAGATACTCAAAGGAACTGAAGTGTATGTGAATGAACATTTAACAAAGAAAAATGCAGCAATTGCAAGAAAGGCATGACTCTTAAAAAAACTAAAAAATTTGTCAACATGGACAGCAAACTAAAATATTCATCAAACGGAATGGGTCACCAGAGGAAGCAAAAGTCCAGGTGCTAAAATGCATTAAGGAGCTGGAAAAGTGTGAGTGACTATGGAAATGAACAGAGGGAAAATAAACCATGATGATGATGACACAAACCTCTGATCATACAGAATATGAAGTATATGAATTAGACAGCTACATAAATCCAGAAATGTAACATTACAAATAACTGTGAAAACTACACAGATGAAACCTTTAGCAAAAAAAATGTGGAAATAGTTAAGGCCCTGTCAATAATACGCTTCAATAGCAGAAGGCTAAACTACTTCTTTTGTAAAATAAAGGACTACTTTAAAATTTTAAGAAGTTCAATATAATTGCCATATCTGAGACCTGGCTTGACAGGAATAAACACACTGAGGATAAACGTGACGAATATAAATGATTCACAATGAATAGGAGGAATAAAAAAGGAGGTGGGGTTGCTATTTATGCAGCTAATGACCCGAGATGCACAGTGCTGAAAAGGATGACAGAAACTGTTGAAAAGATCTATAAATGTTTAACTCTGGACATGAATGTTGAAAAAGCTCTAAATATAATAATTTCATGTATCTAGAGAACACCTGGAAGCTGCCTTCAGACGTTTACAGGTAAAGTAAATGAGATACATGACAAAGTAAATAAATATCAGAAAACCAGTAATAGTCTGTGGTGATTTCAATATAGATCTGTTGAATTCAAACGAACATGTAAAAACCACTAACTTTATAAGCACAATGTACACCACCAACTTATTCCCTCTCATTACAAAAGTTTCCAGAATAACAGTAGATACAGCAACACTAATATACATGATAAATAACAGAGAAAATAAAATAACAAGGTTTATTTATCAACGATATTAGTGACCATCTCCCCGTCTTTGTCATCATACAAAACTTGAAAAATGAAGGAAATTATACAAAAGTTGAAGAACCCAAACTGACCCCAAGCAAAACTGCTGAATCCATCATTGCACTTAAATTGGACTTAAAAAATTAAATCTGGTAAGAATTATACAGTGGGGCAAAAAAGTATTTAGTCAGCCACCGATTGTGCAAGTTCTCCCACTTAAAATGATCCAATCCAATCCAATTTTATTTATAAAGCGCATTCACAAGGCATTACAACCAAACAAGGCGCTGTACACTAAAAATGTTAGTTAATTAAACCGGCGTTATACAAACATGTCGAACACAGATAAAAGATAAAAAGGAAATACAACAAAATTCCCAAAAATAACAGCTAAAAATCAATAAGACACAGGGTGAATAAAAATTAGAAAAAACATTTTAAACAGAACCTCAATAGTACGGAAGTCGATAATTGTGGCAAAAAATTATTTAGTCAGCCACCGATTGTGCAAGTTCTCCCACTTAAAATGATGACAGAGGTCAGTAATTTACATCATAGGTACACTTCAACTGTGAGAGACAGAATGTGAAAAAAAAATCCATGAATTCACATGGCAGGATTTTTAAAGAATTTATTTATAAAGGAGAATTTATTAAGGAGTCAGAGTTGTTCATTAGACGGAGTAAAATTATGGAATAACAGACACTGAAATGAGGGCATGTAACACATCTTTTAAAAAAACGTACATCAAAACCACAATGTCTAATATGACTGTATGTGATCCAGCGCATTTTAGAAATGTGACAGAAAATGCCATGTTTTATGTACACTTGAAAGTATTCATATCCAGAGAAAATGTCTGTTTATATTAATATTATTCATTGACTTATGTTAAGATTACTGGTAGTCTATTTATATATTCTGTTTTTAATTTATTTTTGTTGTCGTTCATTATTTTTACCATCATTATTACTACTATTTAATTTAATTTTGTTTTTTATAATATTAATTATTATTTTTTTCTCTAACATTCTAAGTAGAAATTGAATCGCTTAAATAGTGTGGGCATAAAAGCTAGGCTTCAGCCGATATCTTTTGGTTATTCTGCTTGCAATCCTTGATTGCAGTTTTCCTTTTCTTATCTTTAAAATAACCAAATAAACAATGTTGATCGACTGAAAAAAAAATTATGAAAGATCTGTGAAAAGAGTCAAAGAGATCAAAACCCAAGTAAAGGTCATCGGTCTCGGCTTACAAGGACAGCTGTCTTTGACCAAAACAGTCATCAGGCTGCCCTTTCAAAAGTCAGCGTGTGCACACACACACACACACACACACATGCATGCCTGCCTGCACGCACACACACGCATGCCTGCACACACACACACAAGCACGCACACACACACACGCACACGCGCACACACACACACACATGCATGCCTGCATGCATGCACACACACACACACACACACGCATGCCTGCATGCATGCACACACACACAGACGCACATGCCTGCATGCATGCACACACACACACATGCCGCGCGCATGCCTGCATGCATACACACACACACACGCGCGTGGACACAGACACACGCACGCATGCATGCATGCCTGTCTGCCTGCCTGCATGCACACACACACACACACACACACACACACACACACACACACACACACACACACACACACACACACACACGAGCCTGTGTGTTCACAACACAAAGTTATGTTGCTGGTGTTCTTGTCTGCTGTACCATCATGAAGATGAAGGATCATTTGCTCTTCAGCAGCATGTTAAACCAAACGACTGAGATGATCTGTGACCTTTTTCTCGTGGCAAACAGACCAACTACTAACACAATCATATCACCCACAGCTACTCATCAGTAAACACTGACTAAGGCCAGCACCAGTGGGTAATCTGGAACACTTTGACTTATAAACAATCCACAGAAAGATATTTTAATGGTTTTATTCAGGTGTGATATAGAGATAGATTTAGCTGCTTCACGGCCAACAGAAGGACTGAGGTCTCCTTATTTCTTACCTTCTCCAAAGAGCCTCTGGTGAGACCTTGGCCTGCAAGACCCGCCCTCAGCTCCAGGATGTCAATGTGTCCATCTTTATTGAGGTCCAGCTGATTAAACAGCTTCGCCCAGTGCTTCTGTCGGTCCTGGTCCAGAAAAGGAGCTTCACTATCCTGACACTGTGCCCATGGAAACCATGTCTGCCAAGACGTCATGGCTGATCATCAGCTGATGAGATAAAGACACAATCTTGGATTCCCAATTCTGAAGGTTTTTAAATTCTAAAGAATTCAAGCAACAGTTTTATTTCCCGTACTTTATTATTAGTGTCTAAAATCCTCATAAATGTAACTAATTTATCAACAAACTGGAAGGAAATTCAAGTTTATAACCATATCACATATAAAAATCAAATACCATATCAAAATTGTATCTCGATTATTCTATTTCTCATGTTTCTCTGTTGAGTCGCGTTCATGAGCCAGAGCGGCCCAAGAGCAGGCATCCATGCTTTACTCGTCTGATCAGGCTCACAGTGCGTCACCTCTAAAATGGTCAGGGCAGAAACATTCCCAATATTCACTCATTTCCAGACACGCTTTTCCTAGGCAGAATCGTATGGAGCCAGTGCTTATTGAGGCGAGGGACATCTTGGACAGGTCTTCAGTCCATCACAGGGGACATGCCGAGACAATCAACCAGTCACACACTTACTCAGACCTAGAGACAATTTAGGGTTGCTCTTTCACCTAACATGCATGTCTTTGGTCTGTGCAGAACTGGGTTAAACCCTCACATGCATGGGGAGAATGTGATAATAGTTCCACATATACAAGCTGAAGTCGGGATTTGAACCTTCAACCTTCTCGCTGTGAGGATGTAACTGTGCCACTCTTTTATTTTCGATAATACAATTACTAAAATCCTTTGTGGATGTATTTTGTTATGTCACCCACGGCTACTTGGAAAGCAGAGGGTTTTTTTTACTCGTGTGGGTTTTTCCTGCATTCAAATTTGCGTGGCGGCCGCCTCCAGCCTGATTTCCCTCTGCCCCCAGCTATATGGATGTTCTTTTAACTGCAGTTGCAGCGTTAAGCCACTAGGGTGCTGTATCAGCAGCGGTGCACCGAAAAGCACTAAGACCGCTGCAGACAAAGATCAAAAATTGCTTTTCTCGCTAGTTACATATCTATGGTTGGTGCTACCCCCAGGCTCTTCCATATCAGAGCAGGGCTGTACATCCATCCATCGATCCATTTTCATCCGCTTATCCGGAGTCGGGTCGTGGGGGAAGTAGCCTAAGGCAAGAGGCCCAGACTTCCCTCTCCCCAGCCACTTGGGCCAGCTCCTCCGGGGGAATCCCAAGGCGTTCCCTGGCCAGGTGAGAGACATAGTCCCTCCACCGTGTCCTGGGTCTACCTTTACGTCTCCTCCTGGTTGGACGTGCCCGGAAAACCTCACCAGGGAGGCATCCAGGAGGCATCCTGATCAGATGCCCGAGCCACCTCAACTGGCTCCTCTTGATGGGGAGGAGCAGCGGGTCTACTCTGAGCTCCTCCCGGATGACCGAGCTACTCACCCTATCTCTAAGGGAGAGCCCAGCCACTCTTCAGAGAAAACTCCTTTCGGCCTCTTGTCAGAGACTCTCTTGGTCAGCTTGCTTCTTACACCAAACCTTCCGTCAGGAATCTTGGCGTGACCTTTGACCCAGCTCTCACCCTGGATTCTCATGTCAGTTCTCTTGTTGGCTCTTCCTTCTTCCATCTCAGGAACATTGCTAAGCTGAGTCCCATTCTGTCCCGCTCTGAACTTGAGACAGTTCTCCACACCTTCATCTCCTCACGCTTAGACTACTGTAACTCTCTTTTCACGTGTCTGAGCAGAACCTCCCTGAACCGTCTACAGGTGGTTCAGAATGCCTGTGCTCGGCTTCTGACCAAGTCCTCCAAACACACCCACATCACCCTGCTTCTCCTCCAGCTTCACTGGCTGCCAGTCAACTTCAGGGTTCATTTCAAGATCCTAGTTCTGGTCTATAGGGCCTTACATGGACAAGCACCATCTTACATTGGTGATCTTCTTAGTCCCTACACCCCCAGCAGGTCCCTGAGGTGATCTTCATCACCACCCTCTCCTTATTCTGCTCTTTGTACTTATTCCGCCTTTCACCGATCCACCGATTTCTCTCTCTCTCTCTCTCTCTCTCTCTCTCTCTCTCTCTCTCTCTCTCTCTCTCTCTCTCTCTCTCTCTCCTTTCCCTGCATACATTTTTTTTGCACAATTTGAATTTATTTTTCTCATTTTAAACATATTTTTGATGTATTTTTTATGATCATTTTTGTACTTTAATCGTTTTTTTTTTGCTTCTGGTCTCCCATAGGGCACAGTGTAAACTCCTTTTATGTGTCTATCCGTTTTTTAAGACCCGTGCCTCCATACCTTGGGAACCTATTAAGAGGACATGCAGACCAGTTCCTGTTGACTGCGCCTCTCTCCAGGTCCAGGACGTGTGGGGATAAGGAGCATCGTCCCTCTGGAAGAAGCTACTTCTTAACATCAAGCTGTCTCCATGGCTGTCTGGCTTTCACCTAACCTGTTCGGTGACTGGTTTTAACTGTTTTTATTTTTATTTTTGTTTGCTATTATCGATTTTTCTTTTTGGTATTTTGTTTGGTTTGATTTGTGCTATTCAGCGCCCCCTTGAGGATGATGGACAGCGCTCTACAAATCAAAGCCTATAGATTGTTTATGTGAAGCGCTGGTGATTTTTTTCTTGTGAGGCGCTACAGAAAAGATCGTTGTCTTTGTTTATTTCTTTATTTCCTCATCCTAACAGAGTAATGGACGCTCATGTGGTCCAACTGTAAAACAGGAGAGACCGTTTCACTCACTGCGTGTTTTTCTGCCGACCGACCCGCCGCCCATGGACGCGAAGGATCGAGGAAGAAGCAGCCGGGTCCGGGGACCTGTTTACCCGAGCTGCTGCGTCCTAAACCCGGCTCGGAAGCACGGATCGGGCCGTTTACTTACTGCGGTAAAGCCAGCCTCCACTCACGGATTCATGAAGTGAGACCTCACTCGATTTTGCTAGGCTCACGCGTTCCCAGCTTTACGGTAAAAGGTCGGGCCACTATTTTTCAAAATAAAAGCCCGTCTCTGAAAACGTATTTTTTTTTACTTGAATTCCATTAAAAAATATTTTTTCAAATAACCAAAGATACCAAATCATTATTGCATCGCCAGTTTAATGGATATTTAAAAAATATATATTAGAAATGGTGGAAATGCCCCAAAACAATATTTAACAATAATTTTTAAATAGAAGTCCATTGGTCCTTGTCAGGTGACGTATTGGGTAATATAGCATTGCATGATGGGATAGCTAGGTGTATAAACAAAGGAAGCACCGGTTGCTTTGTGAACACCAGAACAGGCACAATTTCTAGTCATCAAAGAGATGACAGAGCTAGAAAAATATAACTAATAAGTCAGAAAGCAAAGCTGTGTGAAATGTTATGGTAAGGGCCAAGTCAAATTCAGATGACTAATAGATTTCAAGTATCAATGCACATTGAAAATAGGTCTTTGGTGTATGATGGTGATATAGATCCTGACTGTAACTTTTTAACAATAAGGTAAATGAATGCAATTATTATACAAATGATCAATTTAAAAAGAAAATTAAGGCAGAAAAAGGTATAAAAATGGTTCACTTTAACAGTAGACACTTTTATGCAAATTTTCAAGCCATTAAAGCAAACATAATGCAGTTTAAACAGACATACAAAGTGACAGCCATATCCGAGACTCCTGAAAAAGAAGAAGACTTTTTTATATATGGATATGAATTCCATCATTTGGACAGAATCAATAAAAAGGAGGTGGGGAGGCACTTTACGTTGATAAAAACCTAAAGTATAAAAGAGTGGGAAGAGCGATGACGGCTATTGATGGAGCGATGGAATGTTTAACAATAGGCACTTTGCACGAAAGACTGTGGCGTCACATCCGGTGCACGTGATGCGGTGAAGTCTCCTCCGGTGTCCATATGGCGCCTTTTTATACAAGGTGCCTCACAGAGCTACCCAAGTTAAACATCAACGATGTCCACTGACTGTGCCGAACACAAGCCACAACCCCCAATAGCAAGCTGGAGAAGGGTTTTAAGATACACGCATCATCATTCATTCACAGTGTTGGGAGTAACGCGGTACAAAAGTAATTAATTACTGTAATGCATTGCTTTTTGCTGTAATGTGGTAATGTAAGGCATTACAGTGAAAGAAAAGGGTAATATTTACTCGGTACAGTTGTCAGTAACGCGGTAATTACAATGCATTTTTAAACCCAGAATCAAGATGTGTTCCTTAAAAATTCAAATTGCGGGAAACCCGAAGAAAGATCCAGTATCTGCATACATTACGTCATTTATGGACTCAGCTTTGCGGGCAGAGAGGACGCCGCGGTAACGGCTCAACTACTCCAGCTGCGTCCTGCACGCGGCCGCTGTAACATTCACAAAATCGCTCCACTAAAACAAAATTATTCACTTGCGATTGTTCATATCAGCGCATATTCTCTGGTATTTTGTGCTTTTCTGACGTGCTTTGCCTCAGGTGAGTTCATAATCTGTGCCCCGGTGATTTCAACTCATTACTGCTGGAGCGCAGCGCATGTTAAGATCCCTTTGGCTGATCGTTAGAAAGTAGGAAGTCTAGGAAACAGTTTTTTCTGGAAGACGGAGAAAACATGCAGCATGCAGGAAGGTTAGAGAGAGAGGGCCGGAAATTGTTCAAATAAAATCAAGAAAACAAAACAAAGTGTTTGAAAAGAAAAAAAAAGTAGGTAGATTTATCCCCAATACACATTTTTACCAGTGAAAAGCAATAATATATAAGCATTTACTATTTATACATGTGATAGAATCAGATCACCCCAGAAGTCAGTGCCACATCCAGGGCCGTATCAAGGCATTTGGGGATCAAGGCAAATATAGGCTTGGAGCCCCCACCACCTCACCCCTGCTCAGATGGCCCTATAAGATGGCAGCATGTTGAGAGTACAGATTGTTGTTGCTTTTATTTAATAAACAATCATTTTAAAGCCCTGTTATTATATCTGACTGTTTTTAACAGCAATCCTAGCTCAGACACCACATCACTTTCCACATATATGTCATGAGCTCACTGAGCGTCAGATTACCAGATTCATATTGAAGTTGTTTTGGTGAAAGTAACTTAAAGTAATGCAAAAGTAGTGCAATGCCTTACATTTTAAAATCAGTAATATTGTAATGTAATGAATTACTTTAAAATGAGGGTAACAAGTAATAAATTATGCATTACAGTTTTGAAGTAACTTGCCCAACACTGTTCATTCATGAATACAAAGGCGAGTTGTTTGTTCTGGCTCGGCTGGTTCGCTAGCTCTAGGTTAGCATGCTGGGTAGCTAACGCTAGGTTAGCATGCTTGATGTTGATGAAACCTTGATTTATACATCTTATCTAATATATTATGTAATATATTACACAATTCATAAGGTGCACATCAACATAGCTGCGAGATGCCATTTTAACAACAACAGCATGTCAGAATTCTGAGATTAACAAACATGTTTAGATATGTGTGCTTATTCTGTGCGTTTCTTCGTGAGCCTGCTCTGCTGTGATGTGTGATGTTTTCAATTAAAGTGTCAAACAAAGACAGGCAATCAGGAGAGGTATCCATGAGGGCCTTGTGCTTCAAGTCGATGAGGAAGGCAGAAAAACCTCATACTCTGAAAGTAGGGTGTCATTGGTATTAATTTTTTTCAAGTCAACTGAGATGTTCGAGCTCAGCCGTTCACTGCAGAGGTTTGTTTAAACTTGGGCAAGACTTTGCTACTTCGTATAAATATTTAAAGTTAAAAGTCACGATACATAAATAATTATTGCTTGATGAATTTATGGTCTTTTAATTTCCTAATCTTTTTAACTAAAAATGAAGGTTCTGTAATCAGTTTCATGTAGAGCAGTCCAGTGAGAGCATGGGCGTACCTACTGTTCAAGTAAAGTGCTGGCCAAGGTTTGCTCATTAACATGAAATGGCCGAGTTCCATATGGCCACCCTATTTTTGCTCCATTCAATGCACATTTTGTGTTACCAAACCTGTACACTAACTTTCATTTCTTTTACCTACAGATCGTTCTTAGAGACTCAAAGCCTGTTGTTTTGATGAAGTCCAGCTGCTCTTGTGTTGCTGGGACTGCGATGTGAAACCATATAGTTGCAATTCTGTACCAGGCCGCTCACTTAGCTCAGTGCGCCAGTGGTTCCACCAGTTCACAGCTGCACCGAAGAGGAGCAACGGTGGCACAAACCTCGAACTGCTGTAATTTTTATAATCTCACATGCCACACGATCATTCACGTGATCAAATTTAAAATGAAGAATGCTTTCTTCTTTTTTAGGGAGTGAAACCAGGACCAGTTGGGAGAACGGTTGTCACAAAGCCTGTGCAAGGCCGGGTGTGGAGAGGCAGCTTACAGCATGTTAATACTTAATAACAATAAATTATTTATTTACATCAGTGTCATTTCCAACCCTTATTGGATATTAATAAAATGTGTATGACAGTAGTAGCTCAGGAGATAGAACAGGTTGCCTCATGATCGGAGGGGTCATGGGTTCAATTCCAGCTCCTGTCAGGAGTATTCTGCTGTTGTGTCCTTGGGCAAGACACTTCACCCGACTTGCCTGTGTTGGTTTTGGTCAGAAGGGCCGATGGCGCCAAATGGCAGCCTCGCCTCTGTCAGACCACCCCAGGGCAGCTGTGGCTACAAAGTAGCTTACCACGCAGTGTGTGAATTTGAGAGTGCATGAATGATGGAAAGTGCTTTGGGTGTCTTGAAAAGCGCTATATAAATCTAAACCATTATTATTATTATTATAAATCGTTTTTGGCTCCACCTAGTGACCTTTTTTTTTTCATAGATCACACATGGGCCTGTAAATAAATGATTTGTATGAGAATTTTAAATAAGCTTTAATGAGCAGGTAACCATACAACAAAATGTGTTATTGACACACACACACACACACACACACACACACACACTTACCTCTCCACCAAGGAGTACCCTGACGAGAGGAATTCTTGGGCCACTTCCTGACCCGTCTGTGCTGCGTGTGGCAGAGGCCTGCAGTGAACTGGATCCTCTGGATAGGCCATTGGTGTCTACTCTGGGCATGAGTGCTACCAAACCACTTGTAGAGTCAGAGTTTGGACTGGAGCAGAGAGGGAGTATAATTTCGTATCAGCAGCCTACTCTGCTCCAAAAACATTGACCTACACCCCAACGCTCCACCCTATCCCAGCCTTCCTCTGATGGGTCACAACCTTTCACCAACAGAGTGCATTTGGGTGTGCACAGAAGAGGAACAGTTGCACCTGCAAAGCCTGAACGTTTGCTATTATATGGCACATAAAATTGAGGCCTCCACTCGTGACCAAAGCACCGTTCCATAATGGCATATCCTACGGAAGACAAGAATATCATCATCTAGGTTTTGTGAAGTGTGTCACGTGCGTGGCCTCAGTACCTCTGAGTCACTTGCTGAGAGGATGTTACGGGGCACAAGGCAATTAAATAATTGAAAAAGTGAGAGTATTCAGTTAAAAGCTAAGCGTTCTCAGCAGCCCTGAGGTCCCCTGGCAGCTCGTTCCAGAGGCGAGGACCGTAGTACTGGAAGGACGCCTCGCCGTGAATATGTGTCCTGACTTTAGGGATGACAAGGAGACGGCTGCCAAAGCAGTGCAGAGACCGCGTGGGTTCATACTTGTCAACCATGATGGCCACATCAACGGTGAGTAGGTTAGGTAAATCTGAGCATCTGAAGAGTTCCTTGTCACAAATGGGCCATTCCCATCTGTACCGGGTCGGCCCGGGCCGGGTAGCGTAGGTTGTTTACATATCTGGGTGGCCTGGTGTTTTTCCGGGCCAACCAAGGCTCATTCTCAGTCCTCTTCTCGAGGGGGTCTGCTTCAGGCCGACCAGGGCCAACACACCCACTGCTGACAGCAAATTCACACCTTCCATTAGAGCAAGCCTCTGATTGGTGGGTAGAATCAGCCCACATGGGCTTAAGGCAAGGATGTGTGGAAACAACCGGGCCAGGCTGGGGCCGACTGGGACTACCCGGCCTGGGCCGACCCGGTACAGATGGGAATGGCCCATTATAGACCCCTCATACAAGGAAGACACAAAAGTTACTGCACCATGGGGGGCCGTCCCAATCAATCCCTTCATGGTGCAGTGAAACTTGTAATTTGAATACATCTCACTTTGTAGAAGCAGGGATGATGGCGTCTGACATCTCAGCTCAGTGCAATACACAATAACAATGGTGTCTGAGAAGTCCTGGAACACATCAGGGAGATTGGCTTGCACATGTTTCTTTTTCATCCAGATGCACATGGAGCCCAAAATGGTGTACAGGTAGTTTGTCCACGTGGATATGATCCGGCTAACAGTGGACTGGTGCACAGAAAACCTGTTAGTCAAGTCCCTCTGCTTTAGTCCAGCTGCCAGGTACATCAGGAAGAGGAAGAACTCATCTATGGGTTGTAATGACTGTGGGGCCAGATCATGTGTATTAGAGCAATGCAAACGTTTGCCAGAGCTTGTAGAAGAACAAAAACAGCAATAACACAAATACAAACGTATGTGCAGGACAGATCAAAGCGATGGTTTAATTTTTCCTCTCTGCAGCTTTTGTTCTTGATGTCTGAATCATGAGGGGCACCGATGGCTCGATGAGACTCCAAAAAATCTTGAAATGACGATAACTCGCAAATCTTTAAAAACACAAACAATATTTATTGTCCCAATAAGTAAAAGTTGGAAGAGTAGCATTACTTTTAAAATACCACTTAAGTAACGTGGCATACATGTGCGTACACACACACACACACATATGGAGAGAGAGATGTATGGACTTACATCACTAAGATGAGGAACAATAATGCTGTATATGACAGGTATAATACATGGGGGAGTGGTGGGAGGATGAATTTGGAGATAAGTGAATCACAGGTATGTTATGTTGCTCATATACGTGCCTCTCTACCTGGCATCATTCCTTACACGCACACCATAATAATGTAGTAGCATTTAACTTGCCTTGTGTAGAAACGGATGTCATTGTCAGATCCTACGAACCTCTCTAATCCGAAAGAGGACTGGATTTTCAGTTTCTCCATTTCGATAGCCATCAATCTTATTTTTTCTCTTAGCTGCTGATTTTCGGTCGCTGCCATGAACATGGCAGCCGGTTCTGGGACAGAAGCGTAATCGTGGTCTGCCACAACAGCAGGGCATTACATAGGCTGTTCACCGATATCGGGGGAATCATCAAAAGATGCAGGTGTTGTGCCAAAAAGCAACTGGCTGCCAAAAAATGATTAGCCACCGCGGGATCGCGCACGGTTAGGGTGATTGCATTTCTAGATGAAATTCCCCAGGATTTTGCCCTAAAACTCGGCATATCTAGCAATATGGACATTGAGAAAGCAGAGATAACCTTGTCCGGTACTTAAACACATGTTTATCGCGGATATTAGTTTTTTCCAGTTCGGAAGTTGTTTTAAGTGTTGCTATTTGTCTTAAACGTTCACAATGAGGATATATTAATCCTTTTTGCAATATTTGCGATTGAAAGATGGTTTGTGGTAAGAACTGGCTTGCTTTATGTTACAGCCTTGATACTAAAAAATATTTTGTTGTGCCTGAAATGAACAAATAAAAAAATAAAAAAAGTAAAATGGCGCCCTGTATTGAATGTAAAGTCAAACGTTGTATAAATGGAAAAAAACATTTCTCCAGCGATTTGATTTTTTCCCCTTCCTTTTTTTAGTTCACTTGACATGGAGCCACAGTTAACTAGTTTGGGGCACATTTTTACTTGAAAAATAGTATTTAAAGCAAGTCACCCCCAAATAAACTTTTTTTTTGCTGATAAACTAAATAAACGAGTGTCTAATCGTGCTGCAGACACGTGTCATCAATAATTTGGCACTTCAGTGCATCTTAGTTAAAATTTAAATATTCTGCCTAAAACTGGCATTGTTGTGCTGTTGTCAGGTAAAAACTCTGCACTGTATTCTAATTCAAATCTGCCACCGCTATTGGCTAAGAGGTATGCTATGATGTAAACTGGTACATTATGATGTCACAATGCTGTTGTGAGCCTGAGTGTGTGTGTGTATTTGTTAGCAGCTCTGCCCTCTTGGTCTGCCAGGCAACAGCATTTGTTGCATTTTTCAAACATGAAGCGGGAGTGGAGTTAGACTCTGGTAGGGGTTGACTTGCTCTTTAAACTGATCAAGCTTTGGCTTTAATGACACTGTGTAGGTTACTATCTATACATGACTTTGCTCTGTTTAAAAGTAACAAGTTAAAAGCACTTCAGCACATAAAATTAAGATTGTCACTTGCCAAATAGTAACTATATCCTCCTGTTTACCTATAAGAAACACCTCAAAATATCTTTAAATTCTTTATTGATGATTTAATTGTAGACAACTAAAATGGCATTTTACTTGCCAAAAAGTGATTGAATGGCTCAGTTTTTCATGGAGGCTAAAATGGACCAAATAACGGTTGTATGTATTATCTGTTGATGTTATTATACTCATACTGTCTACTGAAGCATCATAAACACCCCAAAATGACAAAAAATGATCATTTCCCTTGCCAAAAATTGATGACAGGGTCCTGGTCACCTGTAAAGGGTTAAATTGACCTAAATATTACAGACAGGGCTCGAACCTGCAACCCTCCAATTATGGGGTGGGCAGGCCAAGACACACCTGTATGTTATTCGTGCTGTCATCAGCCCCTTGTTATGCCACACCTGTGAGGTGGGCGGATTATCTTGGAAAAGGAAAAGTGCTCAGATTTCAGAACAATATCTGAGAGTCTTGGCTGTTTTGTGCAAGTAGACAAAGTTTCAGACGTTTGAGTTCAGCTGATGAAAAATGGGAGCAAAAACAAAAGCGTTGTTTATATTTTTGTTCAGTGTAGATCCAGCCCACAGACATGAGCGATGCCGATCGCCCACCTGCTCCTCCGTCAGCACTTCTTTCTGAAAACTTTAGAACAGCGCTGTCGGTGTACCCTGACCAAACACACACAGCGCTTTATCTCTGATTTCCTTCCTGACTGGTTTTGTACGTGCTGTCTCCAGGCCTGTACGGTTTCTGAACACGTACAACGCACCTCAAAAGCTTGTTTTCATCTGTTCGGCTCCCACCTGCTGCAGACTGACAGATCAGATAGCTAACTGATTCACGATGCATATAAGAGAGGCTCACTTTCATTTTAGAGTCAGACTGCTAGAACAAACAGCGGTAACAGCTAAACAACTTTAATAATATTGCTTAATTAAAAAATGTGTAAAGGGCTGTCCTCCCTGCCTTCCTCCTGTCTGGAGAAGTAAGAATTCTTCTTAAAAACTGGGGAATAAATGTGTTCCTCCTTCATGTTCAACGTGTTTTCTTGTGTTTCAGGGCAAAAGGGATGCGCGTGAAGCTGAGCAGCCTGGCCGAGATCCACCACAAGCACAAGTAACTTTCCTAAATCTTGTGTTAAATCATATTTATGGAACATGCATTTTGACCATTTGTTGCTCGTCAGGATACACGATGGAAAAATGCTCCAGGACCTGGAAACTCTTCTAAGCAACAAAAGTGAGATGTTACAAATTACAATTGATTTTTATTTCAACATCAAAAGCTGCAAAAAGTGACAGAGCTGGTGAAAATGTTGCTAATGCTATTCACATATTTCTATAAAACATAATTCAGCATTTATAAACCTTTATGCACAGTATTCATATGCAGGTCAGACTGGGGTAAAGGGTATTAATCCAATACTTTCTAATTTGGAGCCCAAAATTAGTTTCATGCCTTTTGTAAAATGTATTGTTAGATGTTTATGTTTATGTTTTTAGCAGACGCTTTTGTCCAAAACGACTTAAAAGTGATAATTGGCATGTTGCCCTTGAGGCTAAGAACAACAATAACAACAACAACCAATTTCCAGTCAGTCGTAGGTGGCAGTGAGGTCGCGTGCTGAATCATGGAGAGGAGGGAACAAGGAGTGGACTGTAGAGAGGGGGGGACGGGTGCTAGTTTAGAAGATGCTCTGAAGAGCAGGGTCTTCAGGAGGATATATTAATCCTGAGACACACATTCCATATCTCTTAATTATCAAGGAGTTAGTATTGTGAAAAAAATGACAGGTCATTAGAGCTTCAAATAAACTATAAGTAAATATATAACTTATAGGGGCGTGTATCAGCAAGAATCTGGTCAGACCACATTTCCAAGATTTTGTTCCAGAATGGAGGAGACAATAACTGCTGCCACCTAGCAGTCGGAGCTTCAACTGTGAGTCCCTGAACGGGACTAAACTATTTTTTAATCCACTTGGCCTTACGCCCTGAATCACACATATTTGATTTAAATGAAAAGTAATGTGTGGTTCAACCACACCTGTCATGTACTTTGAGATTTATCAGCTTGTAAAAATTTTTCATTACTGACTACAAATCAGATGTCGGTAAATTGCATATATGATGTCATCATTTTTCTCCTCTGCCCTAGCGTAGCTGCTACTCACCACATGACCAGATTTATGGTGGATCTTCACTCCTGAAGGAAGGATTCAAAGTTCGCTAAACTTACAGCCATTTTTCCCTCTGCTCTTCTTTGTGTCTGGTTTGGTGACATCCATTTGGCGATGCACATTTGTAGTCCTGGACTTTTGACAAAACCTAAAATAACCTTTGCCCTAACCCGAACCCTAAGCACTTTCTTCAGAATCAAAGGGCTTATTGCCATGTGTGTGAGAATCACAACATTAGGAAATTGCTGCGGTACTTGGTGCAAGAAAAAAAATAAATGAACAAAATCGGAATTAAGAAATAAACACAATTAAATAATAATGGAGGGCATCAATAAACCCAACAAACACAACAGTGGGTCTTTGTATCAGAATGTGTCTTTAAAATGCATGAACAAGTGAAGTCCATGGCACTAGAAAATAGTTTTTATAGCCCCACTGACTTGCATTCATTTTTTCATCCTTCCAGGGAGCGTAATTTAAAATCGTAGAATGTCCAAGGAAGGTCCTGCCTTTCTCGCCTCTGATTGGCTGGAAGAGCTCTTCTACGATTAGATATTTCATGCAACAGCAAACGGTCTTCCTTCGCTCAGTGCCGGCTTTTTTATGTCTGCAGCTAAACCTTCAGGAGTTTAGTAAAGAAGCGTGAACCTGGCGCTATAAAAACCGTTCTATCCTGTTCTGCAACAAACGTTTAAGTTTCCATAGAACAGAACCTGAAAAACGTCAAAAGTTAACTTGTAATAAATCTTTTGGATATCTGTTGACTCTCAAGCATTGGGGTTGTCTCATTAATTACTTATTAGGCTATCTTGTGTCATCACTTTCATAGGTTAGGGCCGTTTGCATCTCATCGGTTTAAAAGTGTATCACTTCATCTAAATTCAGTTCAAAGCTGATTATCATGTCGACCTACTGTCAGCAGTTTTTATTATTCTAGAAGAGAAACAGACATGCTGCACTCAGCTGGGTAAAATAGAGCAGGATTACATACCCAGGTATGCTTATGCTGCATACCCTGCTTTCATAAATAAAACGTCAATGCTTCAGAGCCGACGGATAAAAAGGAAGCTCAGCAACGTGATAAATGTAACAAGATTTAAAAGTTCACATTTTACGTTTTAATAAGAAACAAAAAAAAACTATTTTGCAAAACAGGACAGAATGGTTTTTATAGCACCAACTTCACATTTTCTTTACACCCGACGCACCCTTGGACTACTAGCAGAAAAAACCAGAGCCGGGCCGGGCCGGGGGCCCATTGTCCGTCCCCCCCCCCCCCCCCCCCCCCCCCCCCCCCCCCCCCCCCCGCGCTTATTTGATTGATGGCAGTTTCTACTTTTTATTAGACTCCAGCTGGAATCATTGGGCATGCAGGGCGGTGAGGGTGGGTGCCAGGTGGTTGTTAGGGGCTAACCCATGGGGCTGTTCAGTTCAGGGACCCTTCTCTACTCCCTCTCTCTGTCTTCTTGGCAAGAGAAGAGGTATAGTGTCTGCTGCATCATTGCTTTTTATTAGACTCCAGCTGTAATCATTTGGCACTTTCCTAAGTTGTACGAATGTAATCGGCGATATTAGCATCCCTATGGGTTTCTCCATGTATATTAGCATTGTGCTAACCACTTGCTGCCAGTCAACCTGCAGCCTTTGCGATTAGAAAATCTCCTTTTGTAACATGCAATTTAATTGCATATGCAATTAATCGTTCAGCCCTGTTCTCCATTAAAAACACATACACTGGTTTTAAACGTCATAACATGATAAGTGCGAGATTTCAGTCATCTTATAACAGCCGTTTCATCCTCCACCTTCCTTTAATACATGCTTGGACACATTTGAAGCACTTTTGTAATGATTCTGTTTAGTTCCCATACAAATAGGAACTTCACTCTTTCCATAAACTATACAAGTAATTTAACTGTAGTTTTCTTGAGAAAACATAAAACTCCTTCAGAGATGAGTGGTGGAGGGAGATACGAGTTTGTTTATTTTTTCCACAGTCGGTCTTCAGGCTTTCCGAGGGTTCCTACGTTCTGAGTTCAGCGAGGAGAACCTGGAGTTCTGGCTGGCTTGTGAGGACTACAGGGTTTCCCCTTCAAACCTACAGAAAACCAAGGCCAGCAGCATCTACAGCCAGTTCATCAACCCACACTCCCCGCTGGAGGTCAGAAGACCACACAGATTTTTTTTCCTTTAAAAAAAAGCTTGTTTTGAAGATCGTGTTTTTTTTTCTTCTGCAGGTGAACCTGGATGCTGAAACCCGCGAGGCTCTGCTGGGTCTGATGGACTCTCCAGGAGCCGAGACCTTTGACCGAGCACAGCAGAGGATCTACAGTCTGATGGCCAAGGACTCCTTCCCTCGGTTCCTTCGCTCTCATCACTGCATGGAGGCCATCAAGGCGTTTTAAGCACTAATGAATCTGTGCAGCTCAACTTAATGCTTATTTAGTCATGTTAACCATAAGTAGTGCTGCACTTCTGAACCATCTTCTGCATGCTGACAGAATCTAGCCTAATGCCTGTTACACTGCAGCTCTGCACTCAGCAAAGAAATGTCAATATTTTAATAATTATCTGAATACAAAGAACCTGTATGGTTTTATGTGGCGGCGTTGACTATGTTTGGGTGTTTCTTCAGAACAAAATTATCCGGGACCACCGCTCCGATGTTGTAGTTTTAACGAGTCGACTTCAGGGTCAAAGCACCAAACAAATTCAAACTTAAAGTGAGGATAATCATTTTATTTAACTAAAATGTGATAAACGTATCACATAAATTTGTTTTTGAGAGGTAATTAAACCCAAAAGCACTTAACATCTCCCACTAGTGTGGATGACTTTATTTCATTAAAATTATCTAGCAGTTCTGGGTGGAATCTGACTGGAAAAGACAGAATCAATCATTTCAGTTTCAAGGAAAGGTCAACACAAACAGAACACGATTTTCATCCATCTGATCCTATTTTCCTTTCCGTTTACTGGTGGCTGCAAAATTAAACCATCAGATAAAACAGTCTGATTTAAACTGATAAAAATAAACTGTGACTTATAAGATCCACAAGGTAAAGCATGGAAAGTCCTCAGTCCATAGTGAAACTATACTTTATGAGATCCGGGTCTGAACTGGACCAGACCTGCTGAATACATCCAGGACCGGCAAGTGGCCCTACTTTAAGCTGGCTCCAGGACGAGCAGCTCCTGGGTTTCCTTTCCCGTCGACACCTTTGACCACGGACAGCGGCTTATGGAGGGAGGAGCTGGCTTTCTGAGTCACCTCCTGCTCAATCTTGTTCCTGATTGCAACCTCTAAGCCCTTCAAGAAAGAAGATGATGCACAGGAGGAGATTTGAGAAACCAGACGAGCGCTGATGCCCTCATCCTTTTCTAGAAGATTCAGAATGTTATTTATTGAACTTATTTGAACTTCTCACCTTCTTTAGCTTTTGCTGCTGAACCACTTGAGTTTTTTTTGGTGCAATGATCCTCCCTTTAACAGAAGAACAAAACAAGTTTACGGTCAAATGTGATCTGGCATCAAAATAACAACAGTCAAACTAGTAAATAAGACAAAATAACTTGGAGTTAAAAGGACAAAAGTGTCACAACAAATCACAAGAGTGTTTTAGTCTTTGGAAAGATCAGGTCCCTGAAGAAACAGGTAGTTTGAAAAAAGAACCAAATCTATGGCCCTAGCAGACATACCGCTGTAGAAAACCTGCCTTTACTTACACTTGCGGAAATGGGAGACTCCCATCTTCCCAAACTACCGAAATATGAGTTATATAAAATAAGTTAGGAGACATGAGTGGTTAAAACTCGTTATGTCCCATAACTTGGACTGATTTGGTACAAAAATGAAAACGTTTAGTCATATTTTAGCGTTGATGGCGGTTCAATCTAGCCTTTATTTCTTTAGTAAGTGATCTTAAGTAGTCGACAAACGTGTTTCACTCTTACCTCCTTTCTTCGGTCCTTTCTGTTTGTTAGAATGTTGTTTCTTGTTCGTCCCAGAACGCTGGGCTTTAAATTTCTTCGCTCCCTGCGCCATTTTCCCTGAACTACAGGAAGTAGTTCTTTTTCTCATATACGAATCGTTCAATACTCGAGAATGACTTTACTGACTCACAAATCACCCCAACTGACTCATAACTCTTGATGTGAGCAAACTACTTTCATTAGTATAAATATATCTGGCTCATCATAAAAAATGCGAGTTTGTTGACAAAAGCATTTTCTTTCCTGTTCTGGGCTGAAAGCTCAATAGTTCATAGTAGCATTGCTTTGCTAACAGCACGTTTGCGTCACTCACCCCCTGCCTTCCTGAGCGCTAGCTAGCGGTGCTAATCGTAGCATGAACGAATCACTCGGAGGAGAAGGATACCGCTACAGACGGAGACCGCAGATTCAGGCCAACCGCAATTTCAGGCATGTAATGTTTTTGAGACAGCGCCGCCTACTGTTTCACAATTTATCTATCTATCTATCTATCTATCTATCTATCTATCTATCTATATATATATATATATATATATATATATATATATATATATATATATATATATATATATAGAGAGAGAGAGAGAGAGAGAGAGAGAGAGAGAGAGAGAGAGCTCCAAGATGGAGGACGACCAGAGAGTGAGTAATGAATGTGAAGCACAATAGTTTAATGGTATCAAAATAAATTTCTACCGAATTTTCACAGCTAAATTTAATTGTTGAGTTAAGTTTGACAACAAAATGAACATTTATGAGAGACAGCAGGCTCAAACCACAATCAGATTTATTGCCACGTATTGAATTTGTTTCGGTGGCAAGGTGCAAACATACATTCAGGTCAAAGTCAGGTCAGGGATAATTATCTGAGATACTGAATTAGGTATTTTAATTAGATGGTCAGTTATAATCATCAACATTAAAGAAATAAACATTTGAAATACATCAGTCTGTGTGTGATGAATTAATCTAATATGCAAGTTTCACTTTTTGAATAGAATTACTGACATAAATAAACTTTGTCATGAAGATGTTCTCATTTTAGGACCAGCGCCTGCCTGTGTTTGTAAATGAAGACAAAAAAACACCCTTTACTGTTTTTTTTTATTTGACTGTATTGATGTGAAAGAGAAATCTTTTTATTTATGACTGTGTTTCAGCATAATATTCATATGTGTGTATATAGATATATATATTTATATATATAAAAGAATCCAGTTTTGAACCACTTCCACGTTACAAAATTAAACAGATCAAGTGATCATCAACAACAATGAAATACTCGCACTGTAAGAGGCCATCTGAACAACACTCCTTCCATGGTAAATCCTTTATACAGAAACTGCTTTGATCGGTTAGGTCGAACCGACCGGCCAACCTGGAATTTGGCACCCGATTATCACACAGGTTTCAGGCTTATTGCAACTTCCTTTTTAAAACACGACACTGGTTTGCTGCTGCTTCGTAACGAGGTGCAAAAAGTAGTTATACATTTGAAAACTCCAAATAAAACTAGACACATTCCAATCTAACGAAACATGTTACTTTGGATTAAAGACACCAACATAAATGAGAATTTGAACCCAGGTTTTGTTTTCTGAAACCTGAATGCTCTGCAGCAGCTCAGCACACCTCGCATTCGTACGCTTCAGCTTTGGCGGACAAAGAGGTAGTGTGTGTGGTTGAGGAGGCCTCCCTAGTGAGGTGTCTGATGGCCTTAGTCACAAGAAATCACATGAAATGACAAACCACAGCCAGACACTTACAATTATGGACAAACAGAAACCTCTTTCCAACTTAAAAGGGGAAGAATACAAACAAGCTGCTACATAAGTCTGGAGCATCGACAAAAAAACGCTCTTTTTTCTTTTTACTGTACAAAACAAAAAAAAGATCAAATGCACGTGTTTTCCTTACATGTGTGTGATGCGGCATTGTCTGTGAGTTGGGGTCTAATGAGTGAGAGAGAGAAAGAATGAAGATAAATGTGAAGAAGTGAGTTAA